GCAATCCACTCACCTCAGCCTCCCAAAGGCGCGGGATTACAGGCTGAGCCACCGAGCCCGGCTTTACAACTGCAATTTTAGAGACATCATAACTCAATTTTCCATTCACATTTTCAAATTTTTCTTACTAGTATTCTTTGCCAGTTCTAACACTAATAACAATAATAGTTGTTGCTGAAAGATCAATCTGATTGTTTTTCCTCCTCTTACATGCACTTACATTTCATATTTTGTAAAATGCCCTCTCAGTTATTTCTAGAATGAGAATGATGATACAATTTTTATCACCAACCATCATCCTTCCGTCATACTCCATTCAGTTCTTTACAGAGTATACCAAAATGACTTCTTCATGGTTTCTCAGATTCAAATTTTCCTCAAGTACCTTTAACCAATTCTTAACCATTTCACTTCACTAGGAAACAATGAGACTCATCAACCTCTCTATACTCTAGCAAAACTATCTGCATTTTTCAAACCCACCATCTGCTCTCTGGACTAGCACTTTTTTGTCAACACACTGGCACATTTTTGTTGATAAAAGTTGGAAGAATTATACCTTTAAATCCTCTATTCTGCACATAAGTGTATAACATCTCTTTCCCAAAAAACCAGTGTTGTTTATACAGTTTTTAAAAACTGAAATGTTTAATAATATGATGCGTTTCCTGTTCTCCAGATCAATCAGAAGAAATTAATCTACAAAGAGCCTGCTCAGCCCTACGTCTCTACCATTCTAGTTATCACTGAATCTCCTTCTTTCAACCACACTGGAATCAAATAGGCCTGGAATTGAATCTCAACTCTGTTGCTAACAATGAACAGAACTAGATTGCTTATTAAACACCACCACCTAGATTGTCCTTCAGGTCCTTCAAACCCCACTATGCACTCTCTGAATAGTCTGCTGATTTATAACAGAATGTTGTAAGTGGGAAAGTAATAATTGCAGTTATTTATATATCATGCTCCACATGAAGCCCTTCACATATATTGATTCACTTACCCCTCACAACCATCCTTTAGTGTAGGTTCTAAACTGTAGTTTTCCCATTTTCAGATGAGGAAACTAAGACACAAAAGATTATGTAACTCCCCCAAAGTTACATAGCTAATAAGCTAACAGAGTCAGTGGGAACATCCTCTATCAGAAAGTGCTTCATGGTGGGTCAGATCTGGTCATTCTAAAATGACTCATCAGATTCAAAGAAGTCCATTTTGCAAGACTATTTTTAAACCGTTTAAAACTCTGAGTGCCCAGAAGAAAGGAATGTTCATAAAATTCCTCAAAAGAAAGTTACCATGGAGATTGGTTGGTCATTTGCAGAGTTCACATTTAATGAATTATTTGTCTTTCACATTTTTTCAAAAGTTAAGTCAAATGTCATAGCTGGCTTATTACTTTTATAAGCAAATTAATCTTTTATAAAAGACCAAAAGCTGCTTTACTATCTTTCCTCTTCGAATAACTTGATGTGATGTCTTTGTTATAGAAGACACATCACATTTTAAGGGATTAAAACAACATGGAGATGCCCTGGACTATGCTCCCAGATCACCTCTGACTCATAATGTGACCTCAGGCAGAGTCATCAAATCCCAAATCCTGGGAGGCAACACAGTGAAGTGGAAAGACAATGAATTTTGAAATTGGAAAAGACCTAGGGCTGAATTTCTGCCCTTCCCTTTACTTTCTATGAGAATGTGGCTAAGTTACCTCACCCAGCAAAGGCTTAGTTTCTTAGTATAAACTGGAATGATAATACCTACTTCACCTTTGAAAAGAAACCAGTGCAGTCACAGGTGAAGCTGTCTGGCAGATGTCAGGAATTAAATAAATGTTTCTTTCTTGTCTTTGGATTCAATGACTATTGCACAAAACCACAAAAACGCTTCTGAAGAATTTTCCTCCATACCCTTAACATCCTTTGTTATTACATGGGAAATGGGCAGATTCTGTCATCATCTTTAGGATTCAACCCTTTTCAACTTTCACAGGGACTTAATGCTAAACATATAAGCATGGCCTCCAAGTATTTTATAATGGCTCTGTTTGTTTTATCTTTGGTGGAATTACAATACATGAGTAATAAATACTTCCCATAATATGAGGTATGAGAATTTTTACATGTATATTCTTACATATACATATATGTATTTTTTACACGTATACAATGAGATGTATTATTTTGCTTAGTAACAAAATAAAGAAAATCAAACCACATTCAAGCTGGGGGAATCCCAGGGCAAAACACCAGAAGAAATTGGATGGAATTCAAAAACACAAGTTTTGGACTAAAAAATCAGGAAAATAAAGGTTAATAGGGGGAATATTACAACACAGAACAATTTCCAAGAGGAACAAGAAATAAAAACTGGTTGACTCATAGCAGGGTACCTTAAAATAAGAAAAAACCCTAAAACAGAAAAATGATAAGCTTTTTAAATAGTTTACTAAGTATTTTTTGAACACAGAACTTTCTGTATTTCATTATAAGAATTGTAAGTTTCCTATGACATTTAACTGATTAATATTCTTCAACACAAATTTTGCCATTTGCAATTATTAGTGGGTCCAAATATCTACCTCACCCCCATCCACAAGATTTCTAATAGTATTTAAGTCTTTTCCATGTTCACTGAAAGCCTCTTTGTAAATGAGTCATTTTTTAGGGAAAAAAATATTCTCACTGCCAAATTGTAGGGTTGAAGAAAAGAATACAGAATCAATTTCATTTTCTTCCATGATTCATAGTTACAAGGCTCCAGGAAAGATGTATAGCATTGAAATGAAAATTAAGGAAATAAAACCTTCAAATGTAAAAGGGTCACCATCTTTTCTGAGCTTCAGGCTAATTATATCATAAAATGTTCTGCCAATCTAAATATATGCAGTTTTTCAAAGTATTGAAGAGGATAGAGATGCTTATTTCTTCTAAATATTCTAAACTTAAAAATAAGACTAAAATCCAGAGAAATAATTTTGGATGTCACTCTTGCTTCAAAAAATGCAATAAATTGATTCAAAGTTTATTCTATTACATAATTTTCTTCAAAGTTTTCCAAATTTCCAACAGACAATCTTAGGTACACAGCCAGGGTAACTAGGTAACTATAATCAAATGTGTACTTTTAATGTCCGCTGTGGAATCTTCTAGTAGTTGGCAGATTTTATAGCTCTATGTGGCTAAATTCTAAGAAAATTCATCAATCTGTCTCCATATAACTAATACAGAAACTAGTTTGTTTGCTACCTAACCCAACTATTAATCAAGTGGTATATATGCTTTAATTGCGTGTTCAAATTATTTGACTAAAAGGTTCCATTAATATATGTAAAATATCACCTGAGCTAAGTCCTAGGAAAGAACTGTGCAGCTATGGAAGGTGAAGAATAAGCAGATAGGAGAAGCTTTCCTAAGAGACAATCTCAAAGGAATGCTAAAGGAAGCACAGTGTGTAAGAGGAATTGTTTCTGTGTGCCATGCAGCAGGAGAAGACAGACCATATCCACAGAGCTAAAAGACAGAGCAAGGGAAGGGGACTGCAAGACAAGACTGGAAAGGTAGACTGGAGGTTGAGGGTCTTGTGAAAATCTCTAATCTTTATCCAGTCACTAAAGTCATTTAAAGCAGGGAGTCACACAATTAGACTAATAGACTTGAGCTCTGAAAAAATCACTTGCTACACTGTGAAGGATGGATTAGAAAGAGCAAGAGAAAGAACAGAGATCAGGCGGGAGGTTTTGCAGGGGAGAGAGAATGGCAGGTACAACCCAAGTTTAGTCTAACCTGATGATGGGCTCTACGAAGAGAGGGATTTGATGTTGTGGAATGAGGCCAAGGTTTCTGGCATATGCAGTGGGTATGGCTAATAATATCACTGACTGAGAAGGGATTCTGGAGGAAAATATAGTTTAATTGGTTGCAAAATATCAAGTACCCAAAAATGAAAAATA